CCCCCTATATATATTTTTTGTGGGGTGTTTATTTCCCTCTCTCTTCTTCTAACACGTCCCCACATTTCTGTCGCCCTCTGGAGGTCTGGAAGGGCGCTCGCCCTGCCCCAAGGCCCTTGCAGACCCATTTAGCACTCATGCCCGGTGACAAGTGGCCTTGCCCATGCGCGCCCGGCGCGGCCCTCCCGGGACCTCGCCCGGGGAACCAACACGGCAGAGCGGACACTGGATCCAAGTGGTGCTTCTTTATTCCCGGCTGGGGTCGACGCCGCGGGGGTCGGGTGGTCGGCCTTGTCCCCGGCTCCCTCCCACGGCGGGGCAGCTCGCGCAGAGCCGCCCGCCCGGGAGGAGGACCCTGCTCCAGCGAGCAGACCCTGTTGCGCACGAGGACGCGGCCGCGACGCGAGCGAAGGCGCGTTTGCTTTTTGTTTTGTCTTTATTTCTTTATTTCACATACACATTAGCCATTCAATGGAGAAGCCGGAGAGAGTCAGGCAAAGATGGTATAAACAGAAGCGCAGTGACGGGGGGCGGGGCGGGGCGGGGAGGAACAGACGGGCTGGCTGCCTACTTGCATTCCGCTAGGACACTGAAACCCCAGAAAACAGACAGTAAACTACCCTTGTTTCTTATGTATCTCAGTGCAGAGACGGGGCGGGGGGGAGGGGTGTTGGAGGGCAGAGAGGGGGAACCAGGCTGAAGGAGGAGCGCAGGGACTGGGACGCTAAGGGGAAGCACACCAAATCCATTAGTACTATATATAGAGATACTCGTATATACTGCGTTTCTTAGCCTAAGAAGAAACTTGTTTGACGGGACGGGCGGCCTTGGCGGTCCGCGATGCTGGTGCTGGTCGGGCGCACGGGTCTCCCGGGGAGGAAGAGGGGCCGCAGTGGGGCGGGCCCAGGCTGGCTGCAGGGGCGGGAGGGGCGCCCCTGGGTAATGGGATTGGGGGTGGGGAGGGGAGCAGAGGCGGGGCTGGGGTGCCCCTCGGGCTGTCGATTGGGGGGACAAAGGTTCTCAGTTACTTTATTGCTCCTTAATTTTTCTCTCTTGTGT